AATGTCATTTGGTCAAAGTCATACGTCGACTCAAACATGAGAGAGTAGATGGGTGCCTCAAGCTGCACAAACTCTGGTACATATGTCGGGACAGTAGAATCATCAAATGTGTGATGCAACGATCCCGCATCGCCAAACGGTTATGGTGCGCTATTATTCACATTGGTTATTTCTGCTTCAGGTTGTTGAGATGAACTCCCACTCGGTAGAGATATTCAGCTTTACAAAATCTGTTCTTAAAACTTAAAAATTGTCGCCTCTCTACCCTTGTTGTCAAGAACGACTTTCCATTATCCCAAAAATAATCAAGGTAAGTCAAAGTCTCAAAATTAAAGTCATCGTCTTAAATGGGGTCAAGAGTTGGTAAGAATGAAGCCCTATTATTCCAAGCATTAATGTAGGTTGCATGCTTCTGAACCCAATTCACCTTTTCTTTATGGCGACCATCAAATCTGTGTAGGTGGTCATGCATCTCAACCCAATTCACCTGACGACGACCATCTAAGTTTTGGAGGAGGTCATGATCCCATGGACTCTGTGGAATATGTTGGTGGAAGCCAAATTGCCTCAGCACTCTATCTGCAATCTCAACAAAAGAAAATTGATCAACGGTGTAACAGCACACCAAAATTGAAACCCATCAAAAACATCGTGTGGCACACACGCCAAAATTTCTTCATCTACATATGGTCTCCAATTAAACTGTAAAATTATAATAATAATAAAATTGATTTAAATCAAATAATATAGTTAATTTAAATAATAATTAATAATAACATATTATACATACCTTCTTTTTTGCCCTTAATGTCGATCTTCAGCCTGAACTCTTTAATATTGTTATGCACCAACCCCGTGCCTTCAATTTTATGCCTCTATCTGTATATCAATCAAAACAAAAATATGGCCATTTTGTTCAATATTTTTAATCAAAATAAATAATTTATAATTAATATTTTATATTAAAATAGAGAATTCATATTACCTTCCGGTAAGTGGAAAGTCAACCGCAGTCCGACTAATCGGTGTCAAAAACGGAAGTCTATGCCAAGCCCATTATTGTAGCAGTAGCAGACATCCACCGATTTCTGCTGTATTATTATCATTCACGACTAATGACGCTTTGCACATCTCACGATACAAGAACGCCAATATCGCCGATCCCCAGCTATATTGCCTATTATTCATAAAATTTCTTAAAAAAAAGAAGATACTGAGTGTGAACATAATTATCGTATTTATCCGGCATCAAAATTCCCCCAATCAACTGCAATATATATGCTCGTGTTGCATATATAATATCTTGCTCCGTACTATTTGATTGGAGCTGAAATTGATTCTTCAACCATGATAACCTCACACGCCACCCTTTACACTCTGGTGGTACGGGTGTTTTCCCAAGAAATGCACTGCAAAGTTATGCCTCATTATTGTACTCATGTGTCATTACCACACCATCCCATTTATTTGGACCCCGAGTGCATTGCCACATCCTCCAGGGTTATCGTACATTCTCGACACGACAAATGAAACATGTGCGTTTCTGGTCTCCAACGTTCAATCAACACACTGATCAAACCTGTGACCAACTTGTATTCTCGCACAAATGTTACATACCAAAATCCAGCATGTTGCAAGTTTTCTTCTATCAATCGGTGTGGCTTGGGCAGATTATGTAGCCGATGACGAAGGACTCCTTGCTCGTCCTCCTGCAATTAAATAATTCAAAAAAATTATCACAATCTTAAATTAATATTCAATATTTAAAATAATTCATTAAACAAATATTTTATTTTACTAAATAAGAATAACACCATTATTCTCAAATGAGTTTAAATATGTTCATTGTCAAGTCTCAGCAGTGGAATTTGGTCAGCCATTCGAATGAATCTGTAAAAAAATTAAACAACAATATTTAAAAAATCATTTAATATAATCTACTGTTAACTAACTAATTTACACTACACAAGAACAAAAAATAACAAATTATAACTTAAACTAATAAACAATTTTTTTATTATAATCCAACTTAACTTAAACTAATAAACTAAAAAAATGAATTAACTAGTTTTTTTCATATAATATAACATCAACAAACTAATAAACTAATATAAATTAAACGACATATAATAAATAATTTAATATAATTTAAACTATAACTATTTTTTTAATAAAATAACGACATATAATAAACCATGTATATTAATTTAATATGATTCAACAAACAAATTAAATATAATTCTTCAACATTATTCTAACTTAAACTAACAAAGTAATTAACTAAATTTTTGTTATATTATATAACTAACCTAAATTAACTAACTAACTAACTAATAATTTAAACTAATTTAAATTATGCTCGGTTACCTTTCTTTCTTTCTTCTTCCTTTCCTTCAGCTTTCTTTCTTTCTTCTTACAATCGAATAGCCCCCCTCACACCATATTATATAGCAACAACCCTATTGTCATTCCCTAAACCCTACCCATGAATTATTGCAGCAATGTATTGAATGAATGAGCAATAATTTCTGGTCCACCCGTGAAATGATGCAATAATGCAACTATTATAGCTGCATGCATAAGAGGAATCACGCCAGCTGCTGCATGAATTATTGTTGCACTTTGCAGCTCAAATCGTGCTGCAATAATGCAACTATTAAAGCTGCATGCATGAGGTCTCGTGAGCAGCTACAAGAGGAATCACGCGAGGAAGCAGCATGCGCGCAGAGGCTGCAGAACGTTGGTCGCCGGGACTGCACGGCGACCTGCTTGGGCGCTCGGAGTGCATGGCGACCTGCTTGGGCGCTCGGAGTGCATGGCGACCTGCTTGGTCACGGGGCTTGCATGACGACCTAGAGGCGTGCATGGCGACCTCTTCCTACGTGCATGGCGCATGCAAAGCTTCATTCTCTCACCACAACTCGTAGGGAACACTTGGCGACCTCCTACGTCGCCCGGAAGGCATGGCGACCTATGTAGGGACTGTAGAAATCACCCTATTTTAGCAATTAAACCATCCAATGCATTATCTCATGAATTATTTATTTTGATAGTATTATCTCGGGAGTTTTGTCGGATCTGATCATATCCATAATAATAATAATAATAAAAGCAAAATTCAAATCTAACATGTTTTTTTATTATGTTGATAAAACGATTTTTTTGTTAATTTATGATGTGTTTAGTTCTATAAATGCAAATGAACATATTATGAATGAAGTAATGAATTGATTAGAAATCCATTAACAATCAAATAAACTAGTAAATACATCCATTTGAAAAAATAATATAATTTTAATTATTCATTAAATATTATTTAGGGTTGATTACATGGAAAATCACTTATGTTTATGTTTTGTTCACTTTTGGTCACTGATTTTCAAAAAACACAAGATATTGTCACTTTTGTTTTTATTTAATTAAGATGTGGTCACACCGAGTTAACTGTCGTTAACAACAGTTAAATATTTTGACATAATCACATATTTGGTCCCTGTTATTTATATATTATCTCAATTTAGTCATACTTTTAATAAATCAAAATAAATTAAATCCTATTTTACAACTACGAGTAAACTTAGAATTTTTCGAGTTGAGTCGAGTATAGTCAAATTTTCAAGTTTATGTTTAAATATAATTATAAATATTTATAATATTATGATATTATTTGATTCCAATTAAAATGATCTTTTATAACCATATACAATACATGTGTATTTCTTCATATATTTTTTTCATATGTGATATACATTTATGATACAAAGTCATGAGACTCAACTCAAACTTGAAAATCAATCCAGTAATTACTAAAGTTTTCGAGTTATTTGAGTTGTATTTTACAACTCGGTTTGAACTTGAAATTTTTTCGAGTCGAGTCGGGTTTATGAAATTACAACTTAAAATTAATTCGAGTCAAGTTTTCAAGAGTCGAGTCGAAAAAATCGGTTCTTCGATTCAAGTCAAATTTCGCTCACCCCTAATGCCACATGTCACTGTTCGGTTAGAGGACCGACTCGGCTCGAAAAAATTTCAAGTTCAAACCAACTTGTAAAATACAACTTGAATAACTCGAAAACTTTAGTAATTTGTGGATTGATTTTTAAGTTTGAGTTGAGTCTCTCGACTTTGTATCATAAATGTATATCACATTTTAAATTGGAATCAAATAATACCATAATATTATAAATATTTATAATTAAATTTAAATATAAATTCGAAATTTTGACTCGACTCGACTCGAAAAAATTCTAAGTCAACTCCGAGTTGTAAAATAGGACTCGTCAACTCAAATAACTTGAAATTTTTTGACTCGACTAAACTTAGCTTGATCAAATGCTCACCCCTACGTGACATGACATGTGACATCATTCGATTGGATGATTAAATTTATTTTAATTTATTAAAGGTAAGACTAAATTGAGAGAATATATAAATAACATGAACCAAATGTGTGATTATATCTAAATATTTAACTACTGTCAACGACAGTTAACTCGGGTGGCTAGATCTTAATTAAATAAAAAAAAGTGATTGCATCTTAATTAAATAAAAATGAAAATGACTATATCTTATGTTTTTTAAAATCAGTGACAAAAAATAAACAAAACATAAATGTAAGTGATTTTCCATGTAGTTAACACTATTATTTAATATATCAAGTATTAGTTGATCTAATTAAATTAGATGCAATTTCTTAAATTAAATAAAAGATTTTAATTTTAATATTAATATCTTTTTATAATATATATTTATAATATTCAGTTGAGATTAATCATTTAATAAATCAGCATTATATCAAACAAATTAAAATGTTAATATTTAAAATCAAAATAACATACATTATAATTATTTATTACTTTTAAATTGAGTAGATCGATAATTCTGTTTTAGTCTAAGATTCCATTTAAGATTTTTCTCCAGATTAGATTTATGAACGTTAGCTCCAATGGCCGCACTCTCTTTTAAATCCCAGCGTCAAAATTAGCCGTTACCCCTTTGCTTCTGCTCCCTTCTTCCTCTGCTTTGTTTTGCATTTCTCCCCAGAGCCATGGCTGCTTCTTCTACATTTCCTCCTCTTACCAAGGTTCCATTTTCTTCTCTACCATTCCCCCCCCCCTTCCTTTGAGCTTTAATGGGCTGTTCTTATTTTCTCTATTTCTTCTAATACATCATTGTATTTGGTTTTGGAATTCGAATGTATTTGCAGGAGCCCACAACTTTAATGGTTTTTTCTTCTTCTTCATCTCCACTCTTCAGCCCAGATTCTCACAGGCGTATCTGGAGCACCCTCCGTGACCGCGTCGATGCACTCATCGCCGACCGAAACGTCTATCCTTCTTTGCCCAAAGAACTCGTAAGTTTTCTTTATATTTTCAGCTTTCTGAAGCTCATTGCTATAAAAATTTTCTATACTTTTTCTTTTTGGTTGCAGAGTTCAAGAGAATCCAGCAGAGCTAAGCGTTTGAAGCAAGATTCATTGCTTTTGCTCAAAGGCTTTGATTCCATCTCACAAACCTTCTCTCAGCTATCAAACAACCTCGACAATGCTCTTCAGGTAATCTGGAGGAAAAAAAACGCAAATCCCATTTTTTTTCTGTTAGTTGATTATGTCCGTTTTAAATCTGATTTTCAATAAATTTCGTGTTGTTACTATATATTTCCGTATCCGCTGCTATTAGCGTTAGCTTTGTAGCTCAAATTTGCAAACTTGCTGAAGCATTTGCTTTGTTTATTAAAGGGAGCTAGAGAGCTAGCTAAACCTCCAACATTGTCCGATATATTTCATAGTAACCTCAAGAATTCAGAGCCAAAAGAGGAAGACCCGAAGCCGAAAGGACTCGAAGAAGAGATTAAGCTCGGGGTGAAGAGGAAATTTGATCACAATGAGAGCTCAGATGATAATGATTCACAAAAGAAGAATGAGCAAAGCCCTAAAAACTACAAGATGATGAAGAAAGCCAAAAATGTAAACTTCTGCCTTTTCTTTTCCATTTGTTTTTTCACCAAGCTCTCAAATGTTGTTTCCATCTTACAGCTTGCGATTTCCATGGCAACCAAGGCAGCTTCACTCGCCAGAGAGTTGAAGTTCATAAAGAATGACTTATGTTTTATGCAAGAGCGTTGCGGTTTGCTGGAGGAAGAGAATAGGAGGCTCCGAGATGGGTTCATCAAGGGGATCCGACCCGAGGAAGATGATCTTGTGAGGCTTCAATTGGAAGCTCTGCTTGCAGAGAAATCAAGGCTAGCGAATGAGAATGCTAATCTTGTGAGGGAAAACCAGTGCCTTCAACAGCTGGTGGAGTACCATCAAATGACTTCCCAAGATCTATCTGCATCGTATGAACAAGTGCTGAGAGGATCGTGCTTGGATTTTTCATCTCCCATTGCAGAAGAAGATGAAATCCTTGATGCTGATAAGAGAGTTACTCCAAATGATATCCTTGGCTTATCCACTTCTCTTGATGAGTGCTTTGATGAAGAACATCATTAGGGTCTTTCACATGAGAATTAAGCAATGATTCTGTTGTTTTACTTCCACTTCCATCAATCTTGGTGGGAGATGTTTATCAGTGTTCTTTAATCTCAAATAATATCTAAATCTCATCATTGCATTAGAGAAGAAAACAATGTTTTCAATATGTTAGAAGTTATTTGAATATCTTTCATATGATCATATCAGAGCATCAAACTGTAGTTTTTGCCTCAGCACCAATCCTCCATTGAAGGAGGTCCCTTTTCTCATGCTACGAGAAAAGCAAGATTTTATGAGCCCAAACGTATTGAAAAGATACCAAGTTTTATTTGCAAAATAAAAATTGACCCAAAAAGGACGTTAAGAAAAAGAAAAGACGACAAGAGTGTCCTCGTACTTTTTGAAAAAACACTAATGTAGCCTTATTTACATTTAGTGTGATGTTCAAACTTAAAAAATAAATTTAATATGATCATTTAAATAATAATTTTTATCGTTGACCGTTACGGTACTGATGTGATAATCCACGATGGTTGATGGGCTAAACTAGTTTTTTTTGTGAAGTATGAGAGTCAAATTGATTTTTTTAATTCAAGGACTTATTTATTTTCTTGAAAAATATTTTAATTTTTAATTTAAACTATACAAATATAAAAAAATTAAATATAAAAATATAAAAAAATTAAATTACTAAAAATTATTAACCATAATGATTGAAAATGTTATGGTTAAATGAACATTCAATTTAGAGACAAATTCTAATGTTAATATTATTTTATTTAGCAATATAATTATACTATTATGTTCATACATATTAATTTTAATTTGAGTTTTATTTTATTTTTATTTTATAGAGACAAATTTTTTATTTCTTGAAAATTAAAAAATAAATATTAAGAATAATAAAGAAATTTAAATACATGGAATCTATATTTAGTGAATTTTATTTTCTTATCATGTTATATTCACTAAAATCATCTTTTTAATTGTATAATTATTTTTATAATATTTTTAATTTTATATTTTACGATAATTTTAATTCTGTAACTTTTAAATTTTATTTTTATAAGAGTTTATAGTATTTATTTAGTTCTATTTTATGAAAAATTAGTGAAATCAAATTAAAAAGACATTTAGAGTTTAAGATAATTATAGGTAAACATATAAAATAAAATTTATATAGAATGTAAAAGTTTATGTTTATATAAATAAAAATAAGGTAAAATTTGAGGTAAAATATAATAATATATTTTTAATTTTTAATAATTTAATTTTTTTATATTTTGATATTTAATTCTTAAGAATTTAGTATTTTAAATTAGAAATATTTTTTCTAAAATATCAAATAAATCCATAAACTTTTGGAAAAAAATTAATTTGACTATGAAATTCATAAAAAAAATTGATTTAACCCATCTGCCATATCATCAACCATGTCAGTAGCCATCGTGGATTGTCACGTCAATACTATAACGATCAATGATTAAACTATTGGTTAAATGATCACATTATGTCTATTTTCAAAGTTTGATGGCCACATTGGGTGTACAAAATACAAGAGCCACATTATTTTTTTTAAAGTAAGAGGACCTTACATACCTTAATTATCTTAAACTCTAAATTATACCAAGTTGTCCCCCTACCTAAGAATGAACTGAAGGGGGTGTTGGGGTGACCACACTCTCTAAAAATTTCAATTTTTTTATATTTTAATGATTTTCTTTATTTTTTTTATTAATTATCTAATTTTACATTCCTAACATTTTTATAATTTTGCCTCCCTAATTTTTTTAGAGTAAACTATACGAATAGTAACATTTATTTTCGTTATGACCAATTTTAATCACTGTGGATTTGGTCCCTACAATATAGATCCGTTTAGTTTTGATTCCTCGATTGTTAACTCTCATTAACCCATTAACGAAAATATGAATTGACATTTAGAGTCCGTTTGTTTCACTTAAAACGTTTTCCAGAAAATATTTTCATCATTTTCTCGTGTTTGGTTGGAGGAAAACTGATTGGTCAACGTAAAATATTTTCCTGGTCAACAAAATTTCCTTTGTGTTTTCTGGAAAATGACTTATGGTCTGATTTTTCGTAAGTCATTTTCCGAACTTTTTACTTCAAAGAATAGATACTCAAAATAATTTTATTTTATGAATTTAATATTAATAAAATATTTAATATCATTTTAATCAAAATATTAATTATTAAAATATTTAAAATATATTTATTAATACTTCTAATAATATTATATTATATTTTTAATATAATAATAAAATAATCAATTATATTATAATAATATAAGATATTATATTTTTATTTTAATAATATATAATAAATTATTAATAAAATTTATAATTTCATAAAAATAAATTATTAATAATGAATAATATTATTTATGTATTTAATATTAATATAATAATCTAATAATATTTTAATAAATATATTTAAAATATACCAATTAATATTTTTAAAATATAATATAACACTATTACTTTCATAAATAAATAATTAATATAATTTATAATATTTTTTATTTCAATAAAATATACCAATATTAATAAAATTATAAAAATAATATTTTAATAATAAATAAATTATTTTAATATTTTAAAAATAATAATATTAAGTTTTATGATAAATAATATTATTTATTGTATTTAATATTTCTAATAAATATTTTAAAAAAATAATAATCTAGTGTAAAAAGGATTTAAATTACATCTTCTAAAAATCGTAAAATATTTTTCAAAAAATATAATTTATTTTATAATAAAATATTTTTCGAAAAACGTTCATCGAAACAAACGGACACTTAAAAAATAAAATAAAAGTGAATAAAATGTGAGGTGGAGTTCATTGAGACCATGTTCCCGCAAATAAACGTCCCAGATTCTTTCTCCCATCTTTAAATTATCTGGTCTGCTCCTTTCCCCCTTTCCCCCTTTCCCCCTTTCCTCCATTTCCGCTCCTATTCTCTCTTTTTCCTTTCTTTCTCTTTACAAATTACTCGAGAAAGAAACACAGAGAAAATATAAATATATAACACGCAATGTTGCTTGGAAAACGTGCACTCTAGTCGATCAAGCCAACGATAAGCATAGCGGGGATCACCTCGATGCCTCCAACGTCGTTGGTCAACACCCAATTGTATCCGATCCGCCCTCACCACTATGAATTCCCCAACGATAACGACTGTTATGGTCAAAGTTACTTGACTATGGTATCTCCCAGAAAATCAGCTTTAACAAGACCAACTTTTATCAATCATGTACCATTAAACGGAGTCCTATCCTGCACTGGAATATGCAAGCACCAAATGTTCAACGCCTTTACTCAAATATGATGTTTCATTATAGAGAAAAAAACCTCAGTGACAAAAAATCCTAGATAATATACGATTTTGATTAAATTTTTTTTGGATTTACAAAAATGACCAACAAAATCGCAATGCGATCTCCACTATCGCAAATTCGTGTTGCATTTCGCGTTGCGATAGTTGAAAATCGCGTTGCGATAGTCTCCAGTTGTCGTTGCGATTTTCCAAATTCGTTGCGATAGTCTACAGTTGTTGTTGCGATAGTCCACAGTTGTCGTTGCGATTTTCCAAATTCGTTGCAAAAATTCGTTGTGATAGTTAAAAAAAAAATTTTGTTTCTTAAGAATTTTCTCTAAAAAGATAGTATCCGCGGTCGAAGACACGTATTACCATTACCATTACCACGGCCACGGCCACGGCCACGAGACGGATGGCGGCGGCGGCGGCGCGCGAGAGTCCCCTTTGTTCTCTATCACTCAACAAGGAAGTGGAAAAGCTAAGCCTTAAATACCATTCTCAATAGTGTTTCCAATACTATGTGGGATTGAGCATTACCAACACTTGTTTCCAATACAATGTGATTATTCAGAAAACAATTAACAATCATGCACCTTAAAACAACTGAATCAGCAACCAATTGCATTAGTATTATACGATTAAATATGTCATAATTAAAAGTCAATCTACAATCAATCGCGATTATTATAATTTTAAGCAAAATATTCAAAAATAATATCACTATTTAAGGCTCAATCCCACATAGTATTGGGAACAAGTGTTGGTAATGCTCAAATCACACATAGTATTAGAAATACTATTGGGAATGGTATTTAAGGCTTGACTTTCTCACTTCCTTGTTGAGTGATAGAGAACAAGGGGGACTCTCGCGCGCCGCCGTCGCCGTCTCGGGTCGGGTCGGGTCGTGTCGTGTCGTGTCGTGGTCGTGGTCGTGGTCGTGGTAATACGTGTCTCCGACACATCCGCGCGGATACTATCTTTTTAGAGAAAATTCTTAAGAAACAAATCTTTTATTTTAACTATCACAACGACAACTGTAGACTATCGCAACGACAACTGTAGACTATCGCAACGAATTTGAAAAATCACAACGATAACTGTAGACTATCTCAACGCGAAATGTAACGCGAATTTGTGATAGTAGAGATCACAATGCGAATTAGAGATCGCATTACGATTTTGTTGGTCATTTTCGTAAATCCAAAAAAAGTTGATCAAAATCGTATATTATCTGAGATTTTTGATCACTGAGATTATTTTCTCTTCATTATAAGTCCAAGTCCGGACTCATCAATTCCTGAAACTGAAAACTTGTTAATGTACAGTAAAATTTGAATTATTAAAATATTTTAAGTAAATTGCATTTGTTTATATATATATTTATAGAGAGAGAGAACAGTCTATATTTTGATTAGAAAGACGAAGAAAAATAAACCAGAAAAATCGAAGAACACTCCAAAGGTGAGAACCAACGGGACGGACCACTCTTCGATCCAATAATCTCTTTACATTTCAAAGTAATCCTTGAGCAACATTTTATACTCCTCGTACTCCAATAAATCTTCTGGATTTGCGTAAATCTTAGGTTTCACCACGTTTCTTCTTTGACCGAATTTCTATTAAATAATCAAACTTTTTTTTTTCTTTAACAGTTGACTAAATCGAATTTTTAAAAAATATTAACTGGATCAAATAAAATTTATTATTTTAATCTGTTAATCAATTTTTTTTAATAATTATTCAAATAAATTAATTTGAATATAATAAAAT